TACAAGCTGGCAGCTCTGCCTGTGGCAGGTGCAGTCATTGGTGGAGTGGTGGGGGGTCCTATTGGTCTCCTTGCAGGCTTCAAAGTGGCAGGAATTGCAGCTGCACTTGGTGGTGGGATTTTGGGTTTCACAGGTGGAAAATTGATACAAAGAAGAAAAAAAAAAATGATTGAGCAGGTCTCTTCCAGCTGTCCAGAGCTTTCTCGCCAAAGTGCCAAAAAATCCAGCTGAAGTATTAGAATCATTATGACTAGGAACAAAAGCGTAGTAGGCGCGCTAATGACAGACTTGCAGCCTTATGCTTTAAATACAAGGCTGAGTTATGTGAATTTTGACAGCAGTACTGCTACTTGGGAGAGGTTAAACAGTATTTCTCTTTTCAGATGTGGTGACATCATTGACAATTATATGGATAACTTTTAATTATAAAATCCTTAGGTGAGCTATGTGCACAGCTGTAATGATGGGTGATGGGTGCTTCATGCCAAATTTGCACATGTGTCTTGCAGACAATACAGAGATAGTTGGAAAACACTAGTGCTTTCCCATGGGTGCCACCCAAAAGCTGGAGCTTTTATTATAGAGCTCCAAAGAAAAGGAAATAAGTTCCATCTATCTTTCATGGTCATAGTACTTTAAGTTTACTTTCATTTATCTGGAATCCCAAACTCCTCCTGTGTATACCCCCAGGGTATGACTGACTATGCCTGTTCAATAACACGCAGGGAAGTGTTAGCTGCCATAAGAAAAGATGAAAATGCTGGGTGAGCAATGTGGAAAAAAACCTTATGTATATCCCACATCTGCCTCCATGAGCCAAATCAGATCAGCCTTATAAACAGCTTTTCCTCTTTTTCAGGTACTTTTTAAAAAAAAAAAAATTGTTAATCCCTCATCTTGTTCAAAGTGTAGTTAAGAATTAAACAATCTAAGCAGCAACCCAGCAGGACTGCTACTGGAGAATAATTAATTTTCCATGGCTGTTCAACTCCTTGGCTTGTCCTGAGAACACCGTACAGGATGAAGTGCCAAGCTCTGGCATTCTGAGCCTGAAGCCTCAGTTTACTCAGCAGTGCTTACTGCTAGATGTTGCCCTTGCTTCTCATCTCCTGTCACCAACAGTGCTCTGGTGGGAGAGCTAAATCGCTTCCCTGGAAGCGGTGCCACAGCCAGGCCCACACCCTCAAGGGTGGCATTAGGCACCAGGTCAAAGGATGGTGAAGCAGTGAGGCTCTTTAAATGGTGCCAGTGGCAGCTGACATCCCCAGATGAAGGGAGTATTTTGAAAATGTCAACTTGATACTGTTTACAGTAAGTAAACCATGCTTGTTTGGGTCAGCTGCACACCTCTTGCATACTGTTCAGTTCCCAAACATCTCCTTCCACCCACACTGCAGAGTGGCTTCTCAGCCTTCTCAAGATTTTGGGATATGCTGTAGAGCCTGTACAGGGTGAGGTGCTGCTAGTGCTTTTGCTAGCCTTTTATAGTGGATGCCTGTTATTCTTGCCATCCTTATTTTGCTGCTTAAGCAACCTTTTGCTTCTGAAACTTCCATTGTTAAATACAGAAGCATTAATGTGTTTTTATTGCCACATAATCGTACTGTTGTCACATAATCTACTATTCAGCACATGGTCCTACCTCCATCCCTCCAGGACAATTCCCACACTATTGCTGCTGCTGTTTGGGGGAACAGAAATTGAGGTTGGGAAGCTGCTTTTTAAAGTTTTTAGATTGTTCAATTCATCCTGAGCTCTGCTTGAGTCCAGTTTTATTAGGTGAACACTGAAGTCAGTGTTTAGTGATAAGGCTCCCTAGCAGGGAACACTGTATAAGGAGCATACTGTAGAAAGAGCTCCCTTTTAGTAACCAGTACTTTGATGTCATCTTTGGAAATAACTGTCTACTAATGACAGATGATAGGTTTTTGTGCCTAGAGACACTGTAAGCAACTGTTAGTTACAGCACAAATATCTTTTTCTGAACAGTTCTTCCTTATTACTTTTAAAATATGATTGAAATTGCATTGTGTCTATTTTAAGTAGGTCTGAGGCTCAGGGAAGCAACGTGTGCAAGAATAGCTTTCAGAAGTAATCGCAAACATTGTCAAAACTGTATGTGTTAAAGCCACAGTGCCTACATCTGTAAAATCAGCTGGAGTGGAAAACATGACCCAAGTAATTCAGCTCATTTGCTCGTGTCAAGCAAAAAGCACTTTTCTTTAAATGCATCTACTTTGGACGTAAACACGTTTAATGAGCTTGTAACAACTTCATACTAAGGCTGTTCATTCCTTTGATTTGTAATTTCTACATTTAAAGGAAGAAACTAAGAAAAACAAAGTCTTCTTAATCAGAAACTGTGGTTGATTCTTTGTATGATTTTAAAAAGCCATGTCTGCTTTCCTGCTGTATGCTTTGAAACCTTGTGCATTTAAATGACAGCAGCCACATCAGACACATCGTGGACTCCACCCTGTCCCCCCAAGCTGGACTAATGCCAGGACAATCTAAATTCATAAAACTGAATTCCTGCTACGGTTTATACAAATACAGCTTGGTCTGCACTCATTTTATGAAATGTCTAGCACAAAACCTATTCTTCTTCCTTGCATCTTTAAGGAAGCAATTTCAAAACATTGTGTATACACTAGACTTAGGAGACTATTATTTAAGCTATGATTTTTTAAAATAGGTGGGTTATTTACATACGTGAAGAAACATGGGCATCTGAGTAACCGAACTAGCATTTAAAATGCTAGGCATGTTAGACAGAAGGAATGCAAGAAACGGATAAGTCTTTCAGACCAAATAAAAGCTTTTGCCTATGAGACTGGTTGTAGCATTTATTGAGAACATTGGGGTTTATTTCCTTCCAGCATCTAAAAGATTAATCCCTCAAAAATTTTATATTATTGAAATAATTGCATAACCAAGATTTAAGAATCCTGTATTGAGTTACACATGCTTCAGCTATTGAAATATTTACATTGACTGAAATTAACACAAGTTCTTGAAGTGTTGCATGCATCTAGTAACTTGTACACATATGCTAGCTCAGAAATGGACTCCTTAAGTTCAATTAAAGAGAGTTTGGAATGGTTTTGTTCCACACAGGCATAACGCTAATATTGTTTGACAACTTCCCATGAAAGCCTCAGGAAGTGTTGAAGGTTGAATGGTTACAACCATTGATGTAGATGATCAGAGTTGAAGGGCTCAGTTTGAAACACATGTCCCATTTTGTCCAGTGCTTGCTCTCTCTAGACGAATTCTCTGTATCATCAGATACTTAAAAGCTCAAGTGATACTCAACATCACGTGAGGCAAGCATACCTAGACTGCAGCTGTTCAACCTTCTGCTTGCAAACAGAAAAATCACTTGAATGAAAGTTGGTACACAGCCAGGTCAATGGTCATCAAGAACCCAGGAGAATCAAGTCCAACTCCAATGAATACACAATGAAATGACTTGAGTGAGTAACTGTGATGACTGATAAAACTTTTACATCTAATTGCCTACATAGCACTAGGATGCCAAAGCTCTGGGAAGAAGTCCTTACTCAGAAAAGAAACTTGGATTAAGGAGTGGCAGAGGGGGTTTCTCTCTCTCACTTTCTAGCTGAAAGCACCAGCCACTAGACTGTTGAGTGTATGATGAGGTAGCATCTTTCTCCAGAAAGAGGTTTAGATGTCTTCCACCAAACAGCATTTATAATTAAGATCCTAAGGAAAAATAGGAACCTCAGAGGACTAAGATGAGTACCTGTAGGCACCATGCTGGAATTGAGTAAAATTTCAGGTGCCTGAACAACTCCAGAAGTTCTGTAGCACCACCTGCAGATAACAAGTGGCAGACTTAAAACCAGACCCTGCTCACATCTTTAGATTCCAGCTGGAAGGTGGTATGACTCAGCTGCCAAAAATGCTTGATTTGGCATGAGATGGTGAATGGGACAGGAGAAGACCTGGCTTTCCAGCACTTAGCGTGCACTCCAAAATGCAGATTCACAAAACTGACAAAAAAGCATGCCTGTAAACAAAATCTTGTAATACGCTTTTAGCTACCAATTCTGCATCTGCTCAGTTAGCTGTAGCATGGTGGTGGTTGGTACTAGCAACCCTCTGCTCAGAATCACACCCTAGGCAGCTCATGTGCCTGTTGCTGCAGGGGCTTGATTCAGCAGGCTCTCTTGAGATCAGTGTTTGCCACAGCTGCACAGGACCATGTCAGTCTTCTGCCAATAACCAAGTAGGTGGCCTCTAGCTGAGAGGCAAAAGGAATCCTGAGCTGTGAGCTGCGGAAGCTGGGGCACTCACTGAAGTAAATGTGAACCCAGTAGTCCACCTATCCAAAGAACAAGCTTGCTGCTAAGGACACTAAGCCTTGGGGACCCAAGTCATGGACTGGATTCTTTGCAGCAAGCATATTAAACAAATCCAACAGTAATTCATCTCCAGCAATACACCCCAAATTAACATATTTTTCCATCTTAACAGTTTCTATATGTTTATCTCACCAAGCAGCTTGAAGATTCATTGGAGAAAAGCCCATATTCTGGTATTACGCACAACGGAAAAGCCCACAAGGAAAGTAGTAATTCCTTCTTCAGAGCAGAATTCAAAGAATATGCAATAAATAAGGCACAAGCCAGACAAAAAGAGTAACAGAAAATTTGCAGTGGTTGTTCGGAAGGTAAATGTCTGCGAGGAAGGCAGGGACCAAAAGAAAAAAAAAAAGAGAAAAAAAAGACTAATACAGAAGTTAAATTAAGACTGACACAACTAAGATGGCAGTCCACCCCTACCCCTCTCCTACTTTGAAGGGTTTCCAACATTCATGTTCTTTTAACACAACCATGTGTGTAATATAACAATCTTAATTCCAGGAAACCAGAGCAGGTCAATACAGTCCTTTCATTCAAAGTACAGCCATTATCATGAAACTTTTCCTTTACTTGCTTGGTATTTTAATAGTCAGAATTGTTTAATTGCTTAGACATTTGCACCCAGTAAAGCACCACACGAGATTCTGTAAAACTTTAATTTATTCCCCTCCCAAGTATCCAGAATAGAAGACCCTCTTAAGTTGGAGAAAAATGTGACAAAGAAATAGATTACCAGGATAGCTGTTCACATGAAGAAGAAAAAGCACATACTACCAAGGTTACACAGAAAACAACCCAAAAGTCCTATTTAATGGGATAGTGCAAGTTAACAGCATGTCTCTGGCAAGGATACCTTCATTTGGATTATAAAAGTTTTACAGAACAGAGTTAGATCAAGAGTCTGGATGGGTCTCTGATATTTTACTATAGCATTAGGAACATACTGTTTGAAAGATGCTGTACAGAATGACCCACCAAACAAATGTATTTACAAGCCTGGGGAGAAAAAAAATTATTTTTCAGTTTATTCAAAATAAAAATACACATAGAATTATGAAAATATAGGTTTACTATTTCCACCACACAAGTCAATGCTGCTGTCTGAAAGGCTTGCAAGATTATTTCAAGTTTTAAAGTTCATCTTTTTCCCTCAATAAGGTGTACCTATGTTCACTGGGTGCCAGTTTCTGGAATGAGCTCTCTGGTGGGCTGCTTGCTAAATCCTGAATTGGCTGAAAAACAGAACAAACAGTAAATTGTTTGTTAGACTCATTTTAATAATCAATCACACTTCCATTAAATGAACTTCTAACATTAATTATGAGAGTGCACGAATCTCCAGCATTCTCACAAATTGAGGTTTGGGGTTTTTTTTGGAAGGCACATTGTAAGTCCCAAATAGGTGGGATACACATGCACACATACATTCATTCATTAAATACCATCAGTCAGGGATATTCCTTCTGTTGGCACATCTCAAAGGTAACAGCCATCACACAAGTTTCTGTACAAGTGACTTAGAAGTATTGCAAATGCACCCCACTGTATATTTGAGTCTGTCTACCATTTGCTTTGAAGATATTCTAGTTTGTGTGCTGTTTTTTGAGATACACCAGGGCAAAAGTGTCATTGCTGCAAAAATATTTTAGAATTCATTTTCTATGGAAACTAAAAAAAAAAACCACCCAAACAAACATGCAATTCAAGGGACATACATGACCTAGGACAGCAGCCTCCAGTTTAGTTAAGGCCAGTATTTCCCTCGCACGTGCGTACGCATCTTCACAAGCTGGCAGGATGCCATACGGACATGAGAAGGGAAACATCCCAGGTTTGGTGTGTTTTTTTCAAGGAAGAACGGAGACAAGAGCAAGCCTGCAGTTCTAGGCAACGAGCCCGTGCCCAGATAGGCAGCAGGATCCAGGGGCTCGGCAGCCTTCCTCCCTCCCTGGCCAGGCCTCCTCTACATTGCAATTGCCTCAAGAGCGTCTCTTCCTCACGCACGCCTGTCTTGGTTTGAGTTGACCGACTGCCTGACTTATGCCTCAGTCTCTAGCCCTGTTTTCTGCATCTCCTCCTGTTGACTTGCAGTCTGGTTGCTCAATGAATTCCTGAGAAACACAGGGAGTTACCAGTTAAATGAATTACTGCTGAGACAATTCAGCCCGCCTGTTTTCACTGCCAGTCATGACAACATTCAAAAGCAGTCATTCTCCTGGCCCAAGGCAAGCCCTCCAGAGCTTTCACGCTTTTAAATCTTTTAACTTTGAGCAGGGCAACAGGAGGCTGCACAGCTTAGCACACTGCCGCCCTTGCCACATCCCACAGATGACCAGGAAAATGAGCCTGTAGCCATAAATCGTTTCTGTCCCTTACCCACGGGTTCTGGGATGGCCCAAGGCACCCCAACACAAGGGCACCAGGTCTCCTCTGGAACCCATATGGCTCTTTGAGCCCTAGACAATGCAACGTATAACTTAAGAGGTGTGTAAAAAAGGTTGCCTGACAGGCTGTTACATTCACACTTTTCAGCATGACACCAAGCATATGAGCCGAGTGGTGTTGTCAAGAAGATACAAGGCTGATCAAGACACAGAAGACTGGGCTGAGTAGAGGGAATCAAGGCTGGTAATGTCCTTTCTTTTCTGCCTCTTGTATTAAACTAAACACTGAGGTGCTCCTTTGTCTGGAGAAGGATCTAGTAGTTGTGTTCCTGAAAAGATCCCAGGAGTAACTTCCAGGCATGTAATTACGCAGCATGACAACCTTTGAGCAGGAAAGTGAGGAGTCCAAACTGACAAATGCAGCCTGTGACCACTATTAATGCTGCTTGTTAACTGCATTAATAAAAATTATAAACCCTATTACCACTTATCAGTCTTTTGTTGATGCTCTAATAATCTGCCTCCTGCTTAGATTGGTGACTATGCGTAAATATATAAAACAATCAACTGGTGTTTCCCTTTAGAAGCACCCTCTCAGTGTGTCGTGTGGGAAATAATGCATCTATAATGTATCATCAGTTTTTGCACTGAAATCACATGAGAACGTAAGACTAGCTCTATGAGCTCAGAACAGTCATCTAACCCAAGATCTTCTGTTTCAGTGGAGAAAATATATATTCTTATACTCTTCCCTTATTCAAGGCAAACAGGTACCATACTTCCCCCTAATGCTCTCCCTGCCTTTACCCAAAGGAATTTAAAGGAAGAGCCAAGCCAAAGTGGCAACATTATGCTTCTATAAACAGATTTCTTTTTCGGGAGACTGAAGTTAAAAGTACACACATATTAGAAAGTACAGCTCTGACAAGGAGTAAAAAAAGGTCTTTATTAAATGGCCAAGTTAAATGTATTTGTTGTAACCTTACCTGACCAGGTGCTACATCAGTTGGATCAGGGCCGTGATGAAACTCTCTATGCAATTTTCCAGAATGCAAGTCTAGTACAAATTGCTTCAGTTTACCTGGAACTCTGGAACAAATCCAACAGAAACACCCACATGTTTACTACAAGTTAAGTCCAAACACAGAAGATTTAAAGTGCACTGTTTAGAGTAGCCAACTTCTGTTTATCTAGCACACTATGTCCACTTCTAGGTGATTAATAGAGGACAGGAAGCCAAATGGTTTGTTAAAGTATCCTACCAGCTTCTTTTTCTTTCCACTGTCTCCTGAGAACACAGCAAGTACTTCATCTTTTCAATAACTCCCACAGAGTTGTACTAGCCGATAACTTCATTGTATACTCACTTCAGCTCCCCACTAACCATAATGTAAGAGGGAACAGCGGGTTCCAAATGCACAGTTTACAGATACAAATGACAGTTGGGTAGCGGTATTGACAAAACATCTTTGAAAGGCTCTCTAGTGCCTGAGCAACTGCATATACACTAGCGATAAGCACTAAGAGGATATCAATGTAAATCTAATCTGAGATCATCTACTGTCACCCACAGCAAACGTGCTAAACTACAGCATCCAATTTTACTTGTGAAATGTCAAATAGACTAAAAAGCTTAAAATGAAGAATTGATCTAATAAATATTAAAGATGAGATAAAAAACTATAACGTGAGCACTATGCATGCAATCAAAAGGTAAAGTATGAATGGAGACAGGTTTTGCAGGGAGCCTTTCATCAGACCAATGACTACATTTAGGAAAGAGGGACAAAGTGTGGTTAGACAGGCTATTAGCAATATTTCAGATCACCAGAAAACTCTGTGGATAAAACGTAATACAATAAGAGTCAGAGGCCATCACTACAGCAACGTCTCTAACTAATCAGTATTGCTGTGGTACTTTGAGGGGTTTCTTCCCTTCCCAGTTAAGATCAGGAATTGGTGCTGATGGAGGGAAGGGGGTTCATTCTAGCCCAGTTGTAGGGAGAGCAGAATCCCCTGCTTTACCTTGGGCTCCTGCTCTTTTCTAGGTCAGGCACACTGCTGGAGACATTCCCCTCCAACCCCTCCTAATGCAGCAAGGGCATTTGGTGCCTACAGCCTCTTGTAACTGGACCAGTTCTTGCTGAGAAACTACAACTGATCTGTTGAACACTCCCTGCAATCGTTTCCAACCTGGAACAGCAGGATGAATAGGGCCAGGTGGCGAAAGCATGAGGACAAAATATTGGGTGGTGGTCTCATTTGCCTATGAAGTGGCTATTCTCAAAAAAAGACAACTCCCTAAAGAGAGAGGAAATTTTAGTGGGCCAGTTCTGGAAGTACCATATCCAAACCCTACTGGTTGGTGGCAGCACTGAGATTACAAGAGACAGTCTGGGGCCAGTTTGTAAGAGTCCAGAAAATGTACTAAAGTGGCAGAAGTCCTTGCAGGTAGATGAAAGTCTCAGAATTAAGATTTTATGTATTATAAAAAAAACCCAACAACAACAAACCAACCAACAAAACCAAAACAAAAATCCAAACCACACACACACACACACACAAAAGAGTATCACCCCAGGAGCTCCAAGCTCTCCTTGTTTCCAAACTGTTTGTTATGTATTTCTAAGTATCAGCTCAATCTCCTAGAGTAAGGTTGAATAATTATTTATCATTAAGCAACTGTCTACAATCCTGACATCACTCACTCTCTTCTTCATTTGTATGTAACAACTGGTATACAAACAACCAAGTAGCTTTTATTATTCTGATAGTGTTTCACAGAAACAGAACATGTAAGAAACATAACAGGAAAGTCTAAACTAAACATCTCTATTCCCCTATGAGAGATATTAATTTATTTTAGGGCTATTTCAAAAGTGACAATAAAAAGAGTGATTTTGAAATGCAAATATCCCACGATTTTTTTTTAAAGCCCTGGCATGTGCGGTCAACATGATCTTCCAAAGAAACAGGAACACAGGGAGAAAAGTAGTCACTATCAGTGTTTCCACATACATAGCTTTAGATATTTGAAAAGCACCATTTGGGATACATCAAACAGGGACTACATTTTAAGAATAAGCCTGTGGAGAATTATGGGGAGAAGCTAGGTTTGAACCCTTCTTCCAAATGTCAACATTTCAGGTAGAAAAATGCCTGCTAGAATGGCAGAATTAGACATGGGGTTACGTTCACATTGCATGCTAAGTCTGAGCTTTGAATCCTTGGCTTTAACAAAAATGAAATACCCTGAGTTTTTAAAAGTACAAATGGGCAAAAATTATGAATGGGCAGAAGTTCAAGTCTCAAAGCCTAGGCATCTAACCAGGACTTCAGAAGCAGTGTATATGCAGGCACCTCCTTTGAGGTAGAAACTGGAATTTTAACAAACAACCTGAAGACAAAGACAGAATGCTTGTCTCATGCTGAAAGTCCCTGAAGATAACGTTTACACATCTTAACTCCTCAACTGAACTACAGGAGACAGAACATCTGCTTCCAAGGCAGTACAAGATAAAGAGATAGAGACTGATGTAAGCGGATTATCAAAGTGGCATTTCGCCTAAGCACCCTGATACTTCTCTCTCACGTATTTTATCCAGATAACATGCCAATAATCAGCCATTTTCCAAGCTACATGTGGAAAATTTCAGAAACCCATGCAACAAGGATTTCTCCGCCAGCTTTCCGAGTTTAGACTAATGCAGGGAGACTGGAATTGCACAGCAGGAAAAACCAAACCAGCAGGCTGGGAATTCTTACATGGTGCATTTTATGGTAATTATTGCATAACACAGCACTTACACATTCCATGTAGTATTTTAAACCTTTTAAAGTTAATTGATATACCTAGATCACCACTAAAAATACCATGCCAGGTTCCAAATGACTAACCACTATGGAAAATAGCAAAACTTTGAAATAAAAGAACGGCATCTAAAAACTTAATGTGAGATTCTCTTCTTGCATAAAGCAATGCACCTCCATTTAAACAATGGCTTCACACCAATTCATATTGCTTTAAGGTTCTGACACTGAATCGCACATAGGCAGCCTTACCTATCCTAGATTTGTTCATCTTCCTATCATAGTACTGATTAAAATACGAGCACGTCTTTTACTTTGTTCTTCTCAAATTAAAATGCACAAAGAAAAATACTTACGACAAGTCACTGAAGTCTGGAAAGACATACATGTGCCTAAAGCTATCAATGGCAATAACAGGGCAGTCTGCTGGAGTCTTCTGAATATGGAGGAGTGGGTGCCTGAATTTATCGCAGTCAGCATGGAGGAAGTTTATTGTACCTTAAAATTGTGAGCAGACAAAAATCCATGTTAATATTTTTTTATTATTACCTTGAAACCCTAAACACTTTCATAAGTATTACAAAGGTGGAGATATTAGATAGATACAACATGCAAAACTTGAAAATAGATTTAAACAACTAACACCCCCAAAATAATGGATTTTCTTAAAGTGTTTTTGGCCAGAACGCAAACTGAAGTTTTGTTTAATGCCCTCTCAAACTGCATGAAGTCATTTAGACAACAAGGATTTCTGAAACAGTTACTTACTAATAAATTGTGTATCTATTTAAATCATTTCCACAGGAGTTGGTCCTCACTGTCAAAAGTACATAAAGCCCTTCGGTCGCAAGAGCTTTAAAGCTAGGATGCTGTTTGGTCTTTGCTTCCACACTACTAAGCTTGTCTGAAAAAAATTATACCAGTAAAAACAAGAAGTAGCAGGAGTTACTACAAACCTTTTTCACTTATTAACTGACGTGCAACCTCCTGTTGGAACTTCTCTAAACTCTCCAAGTCATCTTTCATGTGGAAAAGTATGAGAAAAGGAAGGCCTTCTTCTGTCAGTTCCTGCACAGAAAACAAATGACAAATCTCAATTCTTCCGTTTCTTAAGGGCACTCAAGTAAGTGATTCCAGCAATTTTAAAATTCAGTGAGATCTCTACTTTAAAAACAGTTGAAAGAACAGGACTAAAGATGTTAACTGTTGACTCTTCATCTAAGATACCCGAGTGATACAGTTAACTATGTTTCCTTTCTCTGTATCATACACAGCAGAAAAAGGATGAAGGTATTTCATTGTCAACATTTCAGGAAGAGATACACCTGCACTGGAATACTTGCTCAGAAGAAATAATCCAATTCTGAGAAAACACATCATCTTCATGGAAACAGCAATAAGGCCTGAACAGCATGGTATTAAACACTAAGAAAAGCCGAGGGTGTATTCTAGACCTGGTCCTAGCTTGGCTCATATAATAAGTTGGTGTTTTCTTAGCATAACACAATGAATGAATATCTGTAAACAACTCCATCCTAAAAGAAAAAAAAAAGAAGAAGAAAAAAGAAAATGCAGAAGCTAATGACATAGCTGTATCAGTTATGATCAAGTTCTGCTCTTTTGCCAGTAAGTGTGTCCTGACTGGTCATCTGTGTAACACCATTATGAAATTCAAAGGTTAGTATATTACTAAAATTGATGAAGAAATGAAAACCACCTTTGCTGGACAGGGAAGCTTTAGTTCCTCATAGAAATGCGTTCTTGCAGCTCGAGTGCCTTTTAAAGATCTCTGTCCAGGGACAGATAAATAGAAACTCCTTGAATAATTTATTCAGGATTTTTCTTTTACTCAAAACCCAAACAAAACACGAACAACTTGTATTTTCTTGCTTCAAAAGTGATTTTTAGGCACCTTTGAACATCAGCTCAACTCGCTAGAGCCCAGTTGAAGAAATAATCATTTTTCAGTAACAAATGCCTACAGTCTTGCCAATCCTTCATTTGCACAACTGGTGTACAAGCAAGTGCTGCTATTTCTTTGATTCTAGCCTGTATCAGAATAAAATCTATGCTTTTTGAGAAAGATAGCACTCGTTGGTTCTGCCACCAAATAGAATAGTTTCTTCAGATATTTTCAATCTGCAGTAAGTTGGAAGAAATACTTTCCATACAAGTAGGCAGCCAGCTACATAGTGTATATGATATGGCTGTCATTCTCCCTTAAACCAAGTCTGTCAGCTAAGTTGAAGCTTGGTCTTTTAACAGCAGCTTGAAAAGATCCTCATAACGTCAGTGCTCTTGATGAAATCCAAGCTTCCTAATCCATCCCTAAACCAACCACTAATCACATTTGGTCATTCTTATTTTTACACACACGAATTTGGCTGGGTCTCAGTCTCCTCTCCTATTAGAGGATGGGAAAAAGTCTGTTTCGTACCACTACGATTATGGCTCCGTTTCCTCACTCATTTCAGCAGGTACATTTCCAGAGGGAGAACTCCCAAAGAGAGTTTGGTATTCCGGCTCTAAGCTCCCCTCTTGTTTGCAAGCAGCTAAAAGGACAACCTTGGTTTCAATATCTGCACGTGATGAGTTGTATTCACAAGATCGATTCACCTCCAAACAGGTTGTTAGGACAGCTAGCTTGAAAGTCTTGCTAATTTTGGCCCTGTTTCTATAAAGTACCTTCGTTTGCTTTTCTATTCCAGCTTTCACAGTATGTCTTACTGATAAGGATGTGGCAAGTGGAATAGCTATTTCATTTGCCTTGGACTGCTCCCTCAAAAGCTACTGTCTCATTTGGCACTGAGTATCAAAAGATTTTTCATTAGATCTGAGCTTCCCACATTTTTTCTGTCTGCCTTTGAGAAACTTTTTACCCTTTCAAAAACTTACAGTTCAGCACCACCATTAGACCACATGGTTCATTATATTCATACAACATAAAACTAAACAGACTGATTACAGGTTAAACAGTGATTTCTTCTGAATGATACGACTGATCCCAACCGCCTTTTCTTGTCAAGTACAGGGACTGCCTTTCAAATGGACAGTCTTCTCAAACAGAAGACCTTGCTTCAGAGTTCAATTACTGTGTATTGTCTAAAGTCACAATGATGAACTCTGCTCAGATCAGGCACTTTCCTGGCTAGACTGCCCATGACACTTACCAGATAATGAAAACATTAAGAAAGAAAATGAGGGAAAAATCTACCAGCAGTTTACAGGGGCCAATTTTGATTTTAAAAATTGACTTTGAAGTCAGTAGTAGAAATTGTTGTCTTTACCTTATTTATATGGTATTCTAGTACCATAAACACAGCTTAACAGTCATAGCACTTCATATTTTTACCCTGTAATATTGTGCAGTATGCATTAAGAGCCCATTTAAATACCATAGGATTTCAGCAGGCAGAAGTATCTCAATTTTGGCATGTTTAAATTTGTTTGGGTACTGGCAGCACTGAAATTTTTAAACAAATGTTGCTAGGCAAAATGTCACATTGGAATTGTAAATATCTGCCTAAGCAAAGAGGAATCAAGGGTTGAGAGAACAACCAGAAAAACCGTGACACAATATAGTACAAGCTGACAGTGATGAACCTTGGCTTCTAAGGCTCAGAATGCAATTTTACCATGGGAAAAGTACACTGAAAATCTACCACACACTTCTAAACATGCTAACATGTGGCATCTTTTACATTCTGAGTTGCAAATGAAGAATTAAAATTTGTTTAACAGAACTTTCCAATAAAAGTTGGCGGGGTTGACTAGAAGGTTGCATTTGAACCATTTTGTCTATCCCACCCTATCCCTCCCTCTTGTCATGTAACCTGACATGTTGTGCATGCCCAGAACAGCAGTGTTACATACACTGCAGATTCAGGATAAAAAAAAAAAAAATTCAGCGTGTAAACTGAGAACGAATCATATGACTGATTCTTTGGTTTCTGGTCCAGTATGGACAACATACTGCATTTTGTTACATACCTCACCAGAGTTCCTAGCAGACGTGGCTATGTACAAATACTCATGAGATACTACAAACCTATGCCAATTTTCTAAAGATTCCCCCCCCCCCCGTTGGTTATTTTACAAAAAAATTTATAATGCAGAGTTGGAAATAGATGAGAGAGAAGTAAGTTACAAAAGAAAACAGAAAAGCACTGAAAGAAAATAAGGAGAATGAGAAGAAAAGAGATGTTTAAAAGCAAGCCCCCAAACTCCATCTTACGAATTACAGTTAAAAATAGAAACCCAAGGGGGAGCACCTGAAGCTAAAAAGATTAAGAAGGTACCAGTGCTTAAACACAGACTGACAAAAATAAACAAACAAACAAAAAAACCCACATGGTTTTTATTACAATTCCCAGAAGATTGCCAGTTCCATAGATGGTCAGCCACCGTTTAATGTGCTTATTTATTAGATAATGCTTTGGAAGTTGTTAATACATTAACATTTTTCTACTACTAACTTTAATATTAAATTTTAAAAGTTGATTATAACTTAAGGATAGTTCACAACTATTTTACTCTTTCAAACTGTCATAGACATGCTGACATGAGTATTTTCTACCCTGACTAGAAATATTTTTTTCAAGGTCACATCAGATGCAAAAAGCACTTAAATAACATTTATGTCTAGATCTTAAATCAACATTTAGTCATAGCATCTGTTTAAATGTGTACTTACTTTAGATGAATAATACAACCTACCCAAGGTGTTACACACCCATACATACAGACACACACATTCTTACACACACACATTCTTAGCATCCAAGTATCCACATTCCGCAAATCAACGGACACTTCTTACATGATCTATATGCATGATCATAACCTCTCTCTTTGGTATCGTATGGAACTACCACAAATCTGCCTCCAGTGAACTTCAAGTCCAATCAAAAAGCTCCAAAAGAATGAAAAGACATTACTTGACAGCTATTTTCTGTCAAAAGCAAAGCATACAGAAAGTTCTTTGGTATGGATTAAAGACCTTGAAAAAAACATTTTGGTTTTGAGAACCCCCAGAAGTAGAATGGTAGAAAAGATTCTTACCTCCCCATTTTCAAACGTAATTTCTCGAACTAGTGGTACACATTTGTCTTGTGTCCATGCATAAATCAAATCAAAATTGGTTAGCGAGCCTAAATACACCATATCTGGAGCATTTTCCTGTTGAAAAGAAAAATAGACAAGTTGAGAAACAGTAAAAATGACATTGCTACTTACAAATAAGATCACCTACCTGACATAAAAGTAAAAATATCCATATAAATATTGAAAGCCAATCATATACCAATGTTCAACCATTGTGCATGCAACATTTCTATTAACTATGTTACAAAAGTACAACAGGAAAAGAAATATAAAATATGATCATTTATGCAGTCAACTCCACTTCTTAAGACAACTTAAAAAGAATTGAAAAGATACTTTGTTTCCAAATTAGGGATGCTTCAAATAAAGGCTATTTAGACTTCGGTCAGGTTGAGAAATAGTATCTCCATACCTAAAAAAACCTATTTAGATATAAACTAAATGCAGATATTAAGCTTCTTCATGCTAATAGTTACAAAGACTCACCAAAAATCCCTCCCAATGTCTTACAGGACTTGAAACTGGTATTTTACATGTGCTTTGCCAAAGAGATACGAATAAATGATTGTTTTCCTTTATTTGCTAGTAGTTTTAACTCAGAATTCAGTGCTGCCATCTTTTCATGTTAACCAAAATTGTAATTACATTAAATGAACCATGACTTCGCAAGCTGTAGCCATGATTAAGCACACCTTAATTCAGAAATGCCATATAAATTAGGTAACCTAATAAATTCTATTTTCACAGAAAATGGTTTGAAACTTCTTCCTCCCTGAGGTCTTTTTTTGTTTATTTCTCTTTTGTAAGCAACTCTTTTCATACATTAAATTTGGGAAAAGAGATTTTCAGATATTAATTATGTTTCTAAAAAGCGATTCTTGCAGATTTTCTTCTGTACTGAATTTTTCCTCAAGTAAAACTATGTTTATGAGAGTTTGTTAACATAGGGTTAATTTTACTTATTCCCGTTTTGATTTTTTTTTTAAATGAAGAGAACAGGTCTTAGCAAGTGGCAGTCAGAAAAATACTTAGTAATTGTCACTTGCTTTGAAAAACATGAAGTGCACCAGCTGTTGAACTTCACAGATTTTTAAGACTCCTACAGCACACAAAGTATCTATACACATGATGAGTTGACCGTGTTTCTAAGAAAAAAAAATAAATTATGGACATTGACATTTAAAATGACAGATTTAGGTTTTGTGCACTTAATTGGCAACAAACGAGACCAAGATCATTTTCACTTACTCAGAAACACTAGATCCTATGACCCTATTTCTCACACTATTTAGTGATGAAATAAAATTAAGATTTGAGATGCAGTGACATACTGAATGATTTGAATATAGTCTCCATTAGTTCATATTCGCATATAATGACAATAAGCAGAATAAAATACATAGTTACACTTACCCCTGGTGGCTTGTAGATTACATTGTCTCCGCTAAATCTCTCTGCTTTTGAAATAGCCCTACAACAAACCAACCAGTAAGCATGTCTTGGTACAGACAAATAAAATAACTGAGATACCAAAAATCAGATTTTAATTTGCTATCCTTTCTTTACTTCTTTTTTTCCTTCAAAATTTGAGCATTAAAATCCTTGATCTTTAAAGTAAACTGTAAAGTGACTCCACAGAAACTTGGCCTGGCTAGATGAGAGGGCATTAAGGGAGTCAGCAAGATGTATGCCTAAGATTGGAAGTGTGGGCTAAAGGCATCAAAGTGCAAGTGATGAATGCTGGTACAATTTTGGATAAGAGACGATCAGAGAAAAATGTTAATGAATTAATATAATCATGTAAATTTAAAAAAACAACAACAAAACAACAAAAAAAACCCTAGTCTTACAGAAGGAAAGGTGAGAAAGGTGGATTCTCATTTACATTTACTCTTCCTGTTCCACTGTTTACACTAGAAATTTATGTCTTATCTACCCTAATAAAGAAAGGCTTTGAGGTGCTCTACCGGCACAGGCAATGAGAAAATGGATAGCAAATAAGCCCACACTGTCCATTTTACCCTCAAAACAGATCTAGAGAGCACAAGACACAGCATGCAGTTTCTGACCACTGATGATCCAGTATGTGTGTACCTGGAGAACACATGCAGTTCCTCCTCGGTATTCAGGTTTCTATGTCACCTTACTAAGTTTCTCCCCTGCCTCTGGAATATTTTGTGGTTCCTCAATCCCAGCCACAACAGAGCACCCTGAAAGCTGCTAGCTTCTTCCCCCCAGATTATCACTTCTTATTCAAACAAATGGGGACAGGTATGCATCCAACATAGGAGATAGAAAAAAACAAGGAAAGAAAGCTCTCAACAAAAATAAACCCTTTCACCACCTTCAGACAGCAAAAGAGACCTCCTCTTTTCTCTCCCATGCCTTGCTGTTCCAACATAACTCATGCTGGCAAGACAGAACTGATTGGCTGCATATGCCACAAAAGAGTAAAATGAACTACCCATCTCTTTTCCTTTTACCATAGGCTAAAAAGAAAGCATGTCAGCCCTGGGAAACATTAGGCAAGTGTTCCAGCTTCTCCAATTATAGTATCTGTTCTGGGGACTCAATATAAGCATTGGTGAAGACTGATTGAGATGTAAGGGGGAGGAAAAAAAGAGAAGTAAAAATGTCTCAATTTATCTCACTGCAAGGTGAGGTAAATCTTCCAGGGGTCTGAACAATTTAGAGGGCCAAGGAAAAAAAAAGAAAGACATCGTAAGACTTAACTCAAAGTACCTACGTTTCATTTATTTAATTTGATCCAATTATCCTTTTCTTATCACATACAAAAGGCACCTTGCATAGTATGTCACACTTATCAGTATTAGCACCAGTTTAGATACGTGTATTTTAAAATGCATTTTTGTATTCCAGACATGATGACTGCTCCCAGAATGTGAAATTAGGCTTCTTTGTGACCAGCATCACTGAGGTAAACCACTTCTATGCCAGATAATCTTTCACTGAATAAGAAGAAAGTGGAGACATAGAAGCCACCCGCCCAATCACTGCTTGGTAAACTGATAATAATCTATAATGAAATATAAGCTCTAGGGTACGCCTGCAGTGGAACCCAGAAGGTCCTCTTCTGTCTCCTGCCACTTCAGTAGCTCCAGTTGTGACCAATTTGTTTCAGATAAGTCAAAGTGGGGACATGATATGAAAATCCCAAATGCCTGAAGATACACCTTTTTAAAACAACTACCAAAATGGAAACACTTCAGTTAGCATTTTGCCTCTTCTTGAAGCGGTAACCTAGAAGGTGAACCTCTTGGACCCTCCCCCCCCCCGCCGCCCCGTATTTGATTGCTAACATAAAATTAAAACAGTTCCTAGATTAGTCACTCTCCTCCATGAGTTACCTACAGTTCATCATAGCCTTTTAAGGTAAAAGTATTTTTTGGCTGTTTGTTTTGGTTTTCTGCATTTGGCTTCCTATGCTATGGCTCAACGGCACAATGCCATTCTCTTCCATGTCTACAAACATTTCAGATGTATCCCTCTCTCGTTCTACTTCTAAAATCTACCTCTAATATCTCTTCATCAGTATCCCTCCTATCTCCTTCTGCTTACAAGTCTTCTCTCATTAATCTTGCTCTGTGGTTACCCGAGATCTTACAGAACAGTAAGGATCAGTTGATTTAAGAATAGTTTTAAGCATCAAGATGATCTGCAACTATGTACCATTAATACAGTTTACAAATAAGCTATTACAACTACCTAAAGCCAGAATAATTTTGGCACAGCAGGGTACATTTCTGCCTTGACAGAAGTTAGCGAAGTAATTTTTTCATGTCAAATTGATTGTTTTGAGTTTATTTTAGCTTACTAGACATTTGAACATGACAGCTCATGTTACCATATACCTCCCAAACCATATAACTGTTGAACTCTGTCCATAGCAAAACCAGAAATCCCTCCCAGGGGCTTTTAGGATGCTCAGTCAGAAGAGTTCGAGTCATCAGTGCCAGCTCCCCATGAAACATTTTGCTATATATAATCTGAATAGAAAACACTGTTACATAGCTAGTATCTCCCTCGGAAGCCTTTTCACATATAATTTTTTAGGAAGCTTGAGAGCCACAGCCACTCAGAGATGAAAACATTTAGTTCCCAAGGTTGCTGTCTGGAAGGCTGCACTTTAAAACACTAACAGCTTCAGGCTAGGAAGGGACGGGAGCCTGGAGAAGAGAATAATGACAAGCCTGCTGTGCAATCTGTAGTTACATGGGAAGGTTACAAATTATCAAACTCTGATCCATTCCATTATGTTTGCTTATTGCTTATAACTAAAGAAAACAAAAAGAAAAAATAAAGAAGCCCCATAGTAATTAATTCAAGAATAGCATCCAACAACCAAATGCTAACACTGAGCAGTGGGAGACTATTTCTCATTATACGAAGTTTACAAATAGCAAACCAAAGACGAACAGACTCAACAGGAGAGAGAATCTTAAAAGTATTGTTTTCATTACTTAAAAGTAATGATTTTTTAAAAGGCATTCCTGAAAAGAATGAAAAGTCATACGAGGGGACAAAAAATAATTTAAAATTCTAATAACTCAGATTGGTTGCTCTGACAACAAGCATGGATGCACTCATCAGAAAACATTTGAGATAATGGCCACTCTTTGGTGATAAGACTGCAGACCTGCAGACCACAGATTTACAAGACTGCAAACCACTGCATTCACATTAATGCCCAATCACTTTAAACTGGGTGGTGCTGGCACATTAAACACTGCAGAAAGAATCTATAATTGCATTTTATTATGTTACTTAAAAAGGGAATCACTCCCAATTTGTTGTTGTTCTTCCAGTGAAGATCTTTTAAAATATTGCTGTAAATCTGTATAACAAGGAGAAATTTGAATTTCTGTAGGTTCTTCTTCTAGATTCACACTATGTAGCTCATCAATGCAATTGCCTTTCTAAACTGTTACCACATGCAGTGACATAGAACTCGCATGAAACAGACCCAGGCACAGAAATTGGACATTCTGGAACAAGGTCCTCCCCTGACATCAAGCAGAAATGAACGAGGAACTACTGAACTATTCTTTACAGGAAAAAAGGAAGTAAAAAAAAAACCAACAACCTACAAAAAGAAGGAAAAAAAACCTACAAAAAATGGTCACATTTTATTGAAAAAAATTTTAAGAGGTTGCAAAAAAAAAAAAAAAAAAAAAAAGAGTTACTCAGTCTGCAAAGCTGATAAAATTTTTGCTAAAGAGTTTTCAAATTCTTCCCTACTTGTTCCTCCTCCCTCCCTTTGGGATACAGCTGTCTAGCATTTCCCCTAAAACCTCCCCAGTTACATTTAAACTATATTGACAAAGAGTGAAAAAAAGAAAAAGGAGGCAAAAAATGAAAGCTGGATTTCACAGCAAATATTAAGGCTAGGAGGAATCTTATCCTATCCTTCTCTCTGTATTTATCTGTTAAGGTCTAGTCTCTTCAGTTATGCCACACTGAAAGTATTAAAGAAGTCCATTCAATTAAATTATATACAACTCATTAACATAATTTCAATAATGAAGTCATGCAATCAACAGATTTTAAAACTTACCCAAAGGCAGACAGGAATACACAATCATCATGCAAAATATTCGCTACTCTTTCAAAGGTTCTGTAATTGTCAGAGTCCTTTTGCTCAAAGTATCCAACAATATTTCTTCTGCTGCGCTGTAAAAAACAAAGGTTAAATTATAACTTACCTTAAATTATCAAAAACTATCATTACTCCCTAAGGATATTAGAGAGGTGCCATTCATTCAACAGTCAATAACTGTGCAGAATTTATTTCTTTTCTGCCTTTTCAATATTCAGAAGCATCCTTGTGAATACTTTTCCAGTGAGGAATATTAGAAATATCTTGTCAAATATAACATATGATTCTTTTCAAATGTTTAAAAGTAAAATAAGTAATTTGGTAGTGGAGTTACTGTAACAAAATGAATGCAGTTGAAAGTGATTATATTGGAATAATTTGTAATACTGGAAATGACCCAGTTTTCCACTCAGGTTAAAAAAAAGCACTCACAACATTTCTGAATGAAAAAAAAAGTAAATATGTACTTCAAATACATTATATTTCACCAGTTCAACATTAAAAAAAAATTTTTGAAGGAATAAAATTGAAAGACTTACATCAAGAGAACTAATTTCTTCCAAATCCTGGACGTCCCGAATAGGGTTACTCTTCTGCTGCCTGATATAATCTGCTATTGCTGTCACAGATCTCTGGCCCCTATATTCTCTCTTCATCATCATTCCATTCCGGAAGAGTTTCAGAGTTGGGTATTTGCTTATCCTGTATCTCTGAGCTATATCCGCTAAAAAGAAATTAAGAAAATAAACCCCAAACCCTACAAACACAGAAATACACTGAACGTGGTATCTTATACATGTATATGTGCACACGTAAGTGGAATCTCTCAACCAGTAGTGCCACATCTTTGAACAAGAGCAAACTGAAAAGAACCCAAAAACCAAATGCCACCACAAGAGAGAGAATGGATAACAGCTACAGTATTTCTCACATGTACTGATCTTCATAAAAAAATGAAATAAATAATGACCAAAATCTGGGGTAAGTAAAGACTTGCTTCGTCAGCTATATTAATTCTTTACACTTCCTATGAACAACTAGGAAAGCCAATTTAAGAGCATAACAAGAACATGAGAATCTAAAAAGCTTGCCAAATCTCAGTTAATTAATCCCCATGAGAAAATTTTAATAACATAAATAATCCCCTATTTTTCTTTAAACTCGCTATGACTTTTATCTCAATTACAGAGCTGGAAATATACTTGTCATGTCTTAAATTTTAGAGAACAAGAAGCCTGGGCAAAATACTTCTTGAAGCCTCTGAAGGGCAGAAGACTGCACAGTTCTGAGCTGTTCAGATTTTGAATGAACACAAAATCTCAGGTTTCCAAATTAAGGCAAACACCTCTCTGGTCAACCAGTGTCAGCATTCCCTTCAAGACAGTTCTTCATTCACATCTATACACACAGCCCAGCTTTCTTCTAGACTTGGATCACACAGAGCTTCATACAACAAAGTAATGTGTATTCGTGTTCATCTAGCGTAAGAGCACTAGCTATTTTCACCTTTATATAACAGGTCAGTTATTTAAGTTATTTATTCACAAGACTTACAAATGTAAAAGAAGAATAAAAAATGAAAAGAAGTTGTACAGCAAAATTAGAAGAGCAGCAAAGAAAGCCGAGCAGGAGCAATAAAGCCCAGTTTCCCATGAATGTGCATCCCGTGCCCCTTATCTCCAACCACTACTAAGGCAATAATCCGGTTCTTCACTACACCCCACCAGAGTACTTCAAGTGTCCCTTTGTCCCTCTTCCACTTTGGTTGCAATAGGTGTTGCAGCTAGTTCCCAGCTACGCGTTGACAGGGAAACTTATACATAACCAACCAGCAAGGGGTTCATGGCACACGGAGCAGGATCCATCAGCCTTGAGTTTTTAGAGCAACCTTTGCTACAGTGCGGAAATTGGTTCTGTGCATCTCCAATACCCAGCAACTGCTTTAATCAAAGTTTAAGTACTTAATAGCTTTGAATGCTCTATCCCTCTTTCAGGTGTGGTTGAAGTTGAGCAAAAAGTTTCAAGGAGTTTTTATGAGGAAGGACTGGAGAAACAAGGCAAGACACACTTTGGATTCTTAGGAAAATGAGACTAAAAACAAACAATAGAGACAAAGCATGTAATGTCAAGTAGATTTCCACAAGTACTTCCTTTTTGCTTTTGCTTTGTTTAATTATGCCCTCCTGTTCACTCCCCCCCCCCCGGAAATATATCTAGAAACAAAAAAATCTCACAGCCCCTGTGAAAACTGTGTCCTCTATTGCAGAGTGGGATGCAGTTTACCTAAACCTCAATCATGTTTGTACCTAAATCCAACTAAATCTCAAAATATGAGCAGTCTGCCCGCTTAATCCTTTGAGGTGACTCATTCCAGTCAACCACACCCACGCCGCTTCCCCTTCTCCCTTTCTCTCTCCAGGAAAGAAAGGGACGGCAAACTTCAACAGACTGGTTTATCCTTTGGAGACAGACAAGTTTCATCCAGTCAACAGGGAGAGGAAGGCATCCAAAGTGTGGGCTGAATGCGTGTCCCCTTACTTTTCAACGACTCCTTAGAAGTCAAAGGGTACACTTCAGGTGACCTGGATCAGCCCACAGCAGGAAGGCAACCAAATGAGGGTCCATCAGCGTATCTGGCACAGCACTGAACAATGCAAAAACTAATCCTTTCTGACAAGAATGTCCTTTCTTCTCAATTACATATTTACTACGAAGCAGATTCGCTTTCTATCTTACTCTTTTTTTAAAAAGAATGGAGACAGAAGTCCTGTGGAAACTATTATTTAGAGGCAATTGTCATTAGCAAACTGCTGATACTGAGCAACTAACATACACTTCTCGGTTGCAAACCAAAATTAAAACCCTGTGCAACTGGAAATAAGTCATTCCCCTATGGAACTGTGCCCGTAACTGTCCTCCAGCACATAAAGCTCTCCACCTCTTTTGAACTTCTAAGAGGTAACAAAAAATCTGAATTCCCTGCTGACTGGAGAACTCTCAGTGCAACCATCAGTAGTTTTAATTGCTGCTAAAACACTACTAATCTCTTGCAGCTTTAGTTACTGAAAACAATCTTTGTACCAGCTGCACAACTTAAACGAGTCTGAGAACTGAAAACAAAACATGCACAGTAAAGGAATAAGAACCAGGTCTAGTCCACAAAAATGTTCTTTAACATCCCTCAAACCAGTAAGCTTAAAAGCTTCACCAGCTAAGCCCAGTTCCTAACAAGCTTTGCATCGCTATAAAATATCACAGAATTCAGCCTATCAATTTTGACTAAGAAAGGACTTGATCTGTTTCCCAAATGTCCTAGAAGAGTTTCTTAATGTACTAATTACAGTCAAAATTAAGGGTAAGACATTTTATGTCCTCAATTCAGAGTACTTCTATTTCAAATTAATACAAATTTCTCAAGGGAAGTTGCCAATATATTCAACATGAACAAGTATTAGATCAATACTGTTTTCTTCCTTTAAATTCCATCACTTTTTAGTTAAAAGTACCTAAGAGCTGCCTGGAAGAAGGTGGCAAGTATAGCAGGGAAAGAATCACTTTCTATCTGCTCAGCAGAAGGCAAACAACGTCAGCAAACCAGGCTGCCCTGTTGATAGAAGGACCTTTGGTCTGATGGTATGCCAGTCTATCAAAACTTGACCAGGCTCTGATAAGAGACAAGGAACACTACATATCAAGGTTTCGCAGAAACACATTGAGATTAAAGACTGTTACTGTTACAGAACTCCACAGCAAGAGAATACCAAACCCACACTTTTTTGTGTTACAACACGGACTTTCCCTTCAAGTTATTTCCACAGTTATAAGAGTTGTAAGAGGATGCATGGGCTGCAGAATGGGCATTCAGGGGGTCTTGAAGGTTCTCCAAGATGGAGATGGAAGTCCTGAGGGATGTGGATCTTCATCAAGAGCTGAAGTTGTGTAAAAAAAATTATGGTAATAAAATGCCCACTGTTGAGACTGAATTCAAACATTATTTCCTAAGTCAGAACTTGCATGCTCTTTACAAATTACACTGAGATTCCATGAATACTGGTATTTGAACTAACACAGAGAGATGACAGTCCTACACAAGTAAGTATTTGAAAACCATCTTTTTACAAAATATAAAATGCAAGTACATGAAAAATTGTTTGAATTCATTCAAAAGTCAAATAGAGTAAACCTTAAATGCTTCATTAAGCCCTGGCATTTGATACAGGTAGAGTTAGCACAAGCAGAGCAACTACAAAATTATACTCCTTTTAAAATTGGAAATACACAATGCAAATACATGGAATATTGTTTGAACTCATTCATAGATTGCATTAGTTATAGTAAATCCTAAATTAAATTTTAAAATATTTCCAGACATTCTCACTGCTCATTTTCTGATGAAAAGAGGTATTTGAAACAGATAAGGGTAACCTACCTAAAGAAAAAAAAACAGTCTCCCAGCTACAACTTTACGTGTTCTTCAGGTACTAAGGTACCTAAAAGGTACAAACCTTGAGTTTGTGTTTTGCTCAATTAATTGTTAAATTGCAAGCGTAGTGTCTATGCTACCAGAATGGTTTCACACTAGTTGTGATAGGAAGCTACTGACATACTTGATCATCATCTTGCCATCTACAAATCAGAAATTTCAAGCAGAGCAGTGACTGTTGAATTCAGATTATTCTCTCCTCCCTGTTTTGCATGTGTATCTGTTGGCATACAACGATTTCTTAACTGCCCAGACTATTTTCTACTATTCATTCTACAAACTCCAAAAGGAATGTCTTCACAGTCACTCAGTTCTCTTCATAGATGCACTGTATTGGTACTCCTCCTGAACTACTGAAGAGAAAGGAAAGCTGCTGCCTACAATAGGGATGAGCAGCAGCTTTCATTGTTGTTTTGAAAGAAACTTTTACATGAAGCCTGACTTTTACACCCATGTTTTCTAAGACCATCTCCCACATTGTCTTTCCTCCAAGAAAACATGCTTCGTGAGCTATCATTTGTGATCCGTATCTTTATCATCTCTCTTGCACTGTCAGCCATTTCTCTGTTGTCTGAGCAGCATGTGTTCCTCTACTCAAAGGAATGCCAAAACCCATTTTTTGGGGGCGTCAGGCTTTTCACATAGCTGCGTATACACGTTACCCAAGCTACAGCTTCAAGCAACCACGCAGCCTGTGACTTGATTCCCAGAATGCCTCAGACTTCATTGTCCCAGGTTAACACCACACCACACTGTCCAAAGAGTTCAGTTAGTTTATCAGATCACATCGCCAAGAATCTCAGGTCCATTGTCACTAAATTAAAATTAAACGTATGATGAAGGATATGTTGAAAAACTGCACCAAGACATGCTATATTGATATAGGCTCCCACCCGCAATGTAGTTATGAAAAGAAAGGTCCTTCCCACCGAAGGACCAGCAGTATTTACAAGGGTCAGGGTATCACCCCACCATTAACTCAGTCTGCTGTCTTAGTCTTCCAGGGTCATAATTCATACCACCACCAAACAAATATCTAGATTTTAAGTCTACAGGACTGAGTCTCAAAAAAATGTGTCCACTAGGATTTGAACAATACTGATAATTATCCTAAATGCCCACCTCATAATATAAGGCACCACTTGAAGCAATTCCCATGCCGAACAGAGGACTACAACAGCCTGAAAAATGATCTAGAAGAAAATCAAAGTTCCAAAACTCAAACCTCATTAAAATACTTT